GACAGAAGGGAGCAGAAGACACTTCCATCTTGTCTTCTGCCTATATCATCACTTAAGAGGCCCCTCCCCCTTCTGGCACCAACGGCTGCTCTGGCCAGAGCGACGACAGAGGGGAGCAGAAGACATTTCCATCTTGTCTTTACTAATAATATAATATAGTATGTTGTATATACATATAATATTTATAATATTATAATGTAGTACAATATAATACTAGTAATAATAATTCAATATTATAATTATAATTATATATTTACATTACATGTAATATTACTAATAATATTACAATATAATGGTATAGTGCAATATAGTAATATATACTGATATTGTACTATGCTAATAATATAATATATTGTATGAAAATATATATTGTAAGCCGCTCTGAGTCCCCTTTGGAGTGAGAAGGGCGGCATATAAATGCCGTAAATAAATAAATAAATAAATTCACAGTCAAGCAACTATATTGTACTCTAGTTGCAGTTACTGAACCATCATACAGGCAGCTCCAAGTGGAATGCAATACAGTTATTAATGTGGGAGATTACTGAGGTATGGTTTACTACTTTGTCCAGGTATGGAAACAGCTAAAAAACCAACCTAATCTGGTAAAGAATTCATCAACCCTCAAAGAAAACCTGTGATTCAAGATGGTTCATGAAATACTCCTAAAAGACTAGACCTGCTGCGTCAGATGGAATACAACTCTGAAGTATTGTATGTACTGCTGATAAATGATTTACAGAAGGAAATGACAATTATGCATTATCATAAGTGATATTACCTAAGAAATGTGAAGCTCTAGTAGCTTGCATGTAGTTTATTCATTACTGAATTAGTATGTTCATGGAAGAGAGAAAGATGGACTTTGAAGCTTTTAGTTAACATTCCATTCCAGCCATGAATGAATGATGTATCAAAATGTTTTGGATGATAAACAATAACTCCATCACGACTTCTAAATAAACATTCAAGTGCTGTACAAAGTCATTAACAACTTGATTGAGTATAAGGCCATTATAAAGAAGATACCTGTCATGTTTGAATGTATCTTGCTGCTATTTAGAAATGATATAAATTGCTATTTATTTTATATCCTGGTTTTCTCCCATGTGGGACACAAAGTGTTCTATGAGGTATGTTAAAACAAAACAACTAAAACATCATGAATACGGAAATTTAAAAAACAATGAACAACAATCCATTCAAAAAATCAATTTTCTTAACAAGGTAGATGTGTTTCTGGGCATTACTTCTTTCACTTAAACTTTGTACTGAGGCACTGAATGTTTGCCTTTTTGTTTGTTTGGAATTCACCCTGAGTCCCCTCGGGGAGGTAAGTTTTTACATTATTATAACTTTGGTACTAGAAGTAGAAATAACATGGAAAGAATAGGGGGATAGGTTCCTATAATACAAAACGAAACATTTCAGCAAAGCTTTTATATAAAAATAACATTACACACATGGGAAATGAAACAATTAGATCAGGAAACCCATGCATAAGGAAAAAAACATCTTGAATCTTCTACAGAGCATCTGAAGGCTTCTTCCAAAATGCAACTCAAGAGTTTTTTTATTTCAATAGCATTCACTTTTCATACTGTTAATATTTTGGTGAGGCAAGCTAATCTGCTTTGCCCCTTTCTTTCTGTTTTGCTTTTCATACACGCTCAGTAAGTGATTCAGGTGGCAACTGTTTACCTTGCTTTGTGTACATAAACCGTTACAATAGAATGACCTAGAGCATAATACAGTACAATTCTTACCTAGGTTATGTTTTAGTGTATTGTTTGCAAAAGACATGCTGTTGCAATCCAACACTAAAAGTGTTTTTCACACCTTTCTTTCCAACATTCCTTCACTATCCTCCCAACACTAATGCTGCACAATAAAAAGTCTCCCACAAAAAGACTTTGTATAAACAAGGCATGTACAGTGATGTTAACTTATCATGAGTGAATGAATGCATTAAAAAAACTTGAACTGGAGGAGAGGAATATAGGTAAATGTAAAGGTTTCCCCCTGACATTAAGTCCAGTCATGTCCGACTCTGGGGGTTGCTGCTCATCTCCATTTCTAAGCTAAGAGCCGGCGTTGTCCGTAGACATCTCCAAGGTCATGTGGCCGGCATGACTGCATAGACTGCTGTTACCTTCCCGTTGGAGCGGTACATATTGATTTACTCACATCTAAATGTTTTTAAACTGCTAGGTTGGCAGAAGCTGGGGTTAACAGTGGGAGCTCGCGCCACTCACCAGATTTGAACCTGCGACCTTTCAAACAGTAAGTTCAGCAGTTCAGTGGGTTAACCCACTGGTTAATTTTAATGACTTTAACTCACATTGACAACCAATTTGGAGAAGGGATAGAATGATAAGGGGCAAAGGTATGTGGGTAAGAGTGAGAAGGGGAAGAAAAAAATGTTGAGAGTTGATTTTCCTAAAAAATGGCACACCCTTTTTTAAAACTATCTTGGTATTAATGCACTTCTGTAAAAGCATAGAACAAGAAACACTAGGAATGGTTTCACTTCTAATAAAGACAGTTTTTGTTGAATAAACTATGCTGTCAGAGTTGCCAAACTAAACATGGGAGAGGGTTCCTGTTTAAGTTCTGTGAAAGAGGAATTTATAGCAAGAATTGCTCGTTGCCCAAGGAGCAAGATCTGCTGAAATCCCTCCTTCTCCACAATTACAGCAGCCCTTTCCAGTTTTCGCAAGTGACCCTATGCCTTACATTTCCATATTACAAAAAGCACTACTGTATCGGATCTTCCAAAATGAACTCAATTTCAAAGAAGTCCAAAACACCTGTTGGCCCACGCCTGAGTTAGAATCCACTTAACTGGGTACCCATATACACAAACATTATGGGGTTTTTTTTAATTGTGAGGAAAACTCAAAAGATGCACTGGTACTTAGTTCTCTATATTGAAACATGGAGTAAAGGAAATTCACTGGGTTTTTGTGAGTTTTCTGGGCTGTATGGTCATGTTCCAGAAGCATTTTCTCCTGACATTTTGCCTGCATCTATGGCAGGCATCCTCCGAGGTTATGAGGTCTGTTGGAAACTAGGCAAGTGAAGTTTATATATCTGTGGAATGTCCAGGGTGGGAGAAGGAACTTGTTGTTTGAGGTAAGTGTGAATGTTGCAACTGGCAACCTTGATTACCAAGCATCCTCAGAGGTAGTGAGGTCTGTTGGAACTAGGAAAATGGGTTTATATATCTGTGGAAAGACCAGGGTGGGAACAAAGGACTCTTGTCTGCTGGAGCTAGGTGTGAATGTTTCAACTGACCACCTTGATTAGCATTTGATAGCCTGGAAGTGCCTGGAGCAGTCTTTTGTTGAGAGGTGATTAGATGTCCCTGATTGTTTTCCCTCTGCTGTTTTGCTGTTTTAATTTTAGAGGGTTTTTTTAATAATGACAGGACTGACAATGTGGAATTGGAAATTGGACTATGAGATAGCGAACGCTGACCGTCTATGAGGAGTAATTGGGTTTCTATTGTTTTATTGGTTTTAGGGTTGTAATGCAGGAATTGTTGTTTAACTGTTCAACTGTTTAATTGATGTTATTTTGTTTTACTACTGTTATGTGATATTGGCATCGAATCTGTGCCTTTGTAAGCCGCCCTGAGTCCCCTTCGGGGTGAGAAGGGCGGGGTAGAAGAAACCGAAATAAATAAATAAATAAATAAATACTGATAGCCAGATTTTGTTCATTTTCATGGTTTCCTCCTTTCTGTTGAAATTGTCCACATGCTTGTGGGTTTCACTGGCTTCTCTGTGTAGTCTGACATGGTGGTTGTGAGAGTGGTCCAGCATTTCTGTGTTCTCAGATAATATGCTGTGTCCAGGTTGGGGTATAAAGTTTATTATTATTGTATTGTCGAAGGCTTTCATGGCTGGAATCACTAGGTTCTTGTGGGTTTTTTCGGGCTATAGAGCCATGTTCTAGAGGCATTTCTCCTGACGTTTCGCCTGCATCTATGGCAAGCATCCTCAGAGGTAGTGAGGTCTGTTGGAATTAGGACAATGCGTTTATATATCTGTGGAATGGCTGGGGTGGGGCAAAGAGCTTTTCTCTGCTGGAGCTAGGTGTGAATGTTTCAACTGACCACCTTCATTAGCATTTGAAGGCCTGGCTGTGCCTGGAAAATATTTTGTTGAGAGGTGTTAAGATGTGCCTGGTTGTTTCCCCTCTGTTGCTTTGCTGTTGTAATTTTAGAGTTTTTTAATACTGGTAGCCAGATTTTGTACATTTTCATGGTCTCTTCCTTTCTGTTGAAATTGTCCACATGCTTGTGGATTTCAATGGCTTCTCTGTGTAGTCTGACATGGTGGTTGTTGGAGTGGTCCAGCATTTCTGTGTTCTCAAATAATATGCTGTGTCCAGGCTGGTTCATCAGGTGCTCTGCTATGGCTGACTTCTCTGGTTGAAGTAGTCTGCAGTGCCTTTCATGTTCCTTGATGCGTGTTTGGACAATGCTGCGTTTGGTGGTCCCTGTGTAGACTTGTCCACAGCTGCATGGTATACGGTAGACTCCTGCAGAGGTGAGAGGATCCCTCTTGTCCTTTGCTGAACGTAGCATTTATTATTATTATTTGTTGAGAAGTGATTAGCTGGCCCTGATTGTTTCTTGTCTGGAATTCCTCAGTTTTTGAGTGTCGTTCTTTATTTACTGTTATGATTTTAAACTTTAATCAAAAGGAAATTCACCTGTTCCGTTTCCACTTCGTGAGACTGCGCACGAAGACTCCAGGTGCCCTTGGCCGGGTGAGCTCTTTAATCTCTTAACACAGGTAAACACTATTCACCTCAGCTGGGGAGGCCACGCCCCTTAAAGCCTTGTCCAATGGCAACGAAGAGAGGGGAGGAGAGGAGCGCGCGCAGGCCGAGCCTCGCGCTCAGCGCCCGCGACGTCACCAACTGACGTTTGCAAGCCCCGCCTCCTTTCTCCTCGAGAGAAGGCGGAGCTTGAAGATTGGTGGGAACCAAGGAGGGAGAAGGGGGGGAAACCGGATATGCGCATGCGCGGGGAAGAAGCAAAACGGCGATTTGGTTGCTGGGATCTGGCACAGGAGGCGGGGCGGCGGCCGACGTTGTCGACGAGGACGACGGCGGCGACGAAGAAGTTGTGCCGCTTCGGTCTTGGTGAGGCGTGTGGGCTCCGGTGCGTCTCTTTCCGTGAGCGGCCTGAAGCGTCGTCGTTGTCGTCACAGGCGAAGGCGAGGCGCCCTTTCCTCGGTCCGGCGGGTGCCCAACAGGTAGGTATCCTGAGGGAGAAAGAGGAAGAAGAAGCCCTCTCGTTTCGCCTCGGCTCGTGTTCGGGGGCATGGTGGGACTGAGGGGGCCTTCCTGAGCCGCCTGGTGTGTGCTGGGAGCGCATTCCTCAGCTTCCTCCGCGTCTCCTCCCTTCCCTTCCCGTGTGAACTTCTGTCCCCGTGTCTTCTTATCGCCTGAAATCTCTCCCCGGACCCCGCCTTCCTTCTTTTCTCCCCTGTTTCCCTTTCCTGCCTGTTTGTTGTTGTCCTCTTCATCTCCTTCCCCTGTTCGCTTCTGTCCCTGAAGTGACAACTAGTTTTGACGGAGACTCTTCCTTTTTTCCTTGTCCTAATTCAGGGCGTCCCAAACAGGTTCTCGCCCCGCTACCTTTCACGCAGGTTGTCCCAAAGATTGCCTAAAATTGATACTTAGAGTCCCCTTGTAAATTGTATCAGAAGGCGAGAGACTTCTACCTTGTATTGGGAATACAATGTATTGGGAATCTCACATGAGAACAACATATTTTATGTGTGGCCAAGACCCCAAAATAACATATAAAACAGCTCTGTATTTAAGCCAAACAATACGTCTGAGAACCACGTATGTAGGGCTGATCGGGGTAAATTGTAGGGGTGATAAGGAAATCTATATAAATAAAAATAATGTTCGTTTGTGGGATTAACAGAACTCAAAAACCACTGGATGAATTGACACCAAATTTGGACACAAGACACCTAACAACCCAATGTATGTCCTTCACTCAAAAAATTTGATTTTGTCATTTGGGAGTTGTAGTTACTGGGAATTATAGTTCACCTACAATCAAAGAGCATTCTGAATCCCACCAATGCTGGAATTGAACCAAACTTGGCACACAGAACTTCCATGGCTAATGTAAAACACTGGAAGGGTTTTGTTGAGACTCAGCATTCTGGCACCATACCTACTACTAGTTTGGTGGGCAGTGTCCTTTGGTTTTGGAGTTGTAGTTCACCTACATCCAGAGATCACTGTGGACTCAAACAATGATGGATCTGGACCAAACTCTACACGAATACTCAATATGCCCAAATGTGAACACTGGTAGAGTTTGGGAAAAATAGAATCTTGACATTTGGGAGTTGTAGTTGCTGGGATTTATAGTTCACCTACAATCACAGAGCATTCTGAATCCCACCAAAGATAGAATTGGGCCAAACTTCTCACACAGAACCTCCATGTGGGCCACAGCAATGCATGGCAGGGGATGGCTAGTAACATATAAAACTGTATTTAAGCAAAACAATACATCTGAGAACCACATATGTAGGGCCGATCGGGGTAAATTGTAGGGGTGATAAGGAAATATGATATATATATATACTCAGTTTTATCACCTCTTATATTTATTTACTGTATTGTTATAAGTGTCTTATTTTAACTTACTACATGGAGTGTGATCAAGTCTTACCAAACTTTGTTGTTTTGTTTGATATTGTGGTATGACCTAAGGACTAATCAATAAAAATACTACTACTAATTACTACTTACAGTCCCTAGTGTAGGCATGGGCAAAGTTGGGCCCTCCAGGTGTTTTGGACTCCAACTCCCACCATTCCTAACAGCCTCAGGCCCCTTCCTTTTCCCCCTCAGCAGAAGGGAAAAGGAAGGGGCCCGAGGCTGTTAGGAATAGTGGGATTTGGAGTCCAAACACCCATAGGGCCCAATTTCGCCCATGCCTTCTCTAGTGAACATAAGAGGAAATGGGAAATTGTTGCTAAATGTACCTGTTGCCCAAGAAAAATGAACTGCCCTTCCTTGTTCTAATCCCCTTAAGTTTGGCCGTGTGTTTATCATTGAATTGTTGCCTCTGTAAACCGCCTTGAGTCGCCTGCGGGCTGAGAAGGGCGGTGTACAAATACAGTAAATAAATAACAAATAAATGTGTGATGTCAGGCCTGTAGCCGGGGGGGGGGGGTTAGGGGTTCAACAGGTTTTAAAATTTTTTCAGGTTTAAAAAAACCTGGTTTACTCATGAATTTTAACTGGTTAACCAAATCCCCCTGCTAAGTCTATGAGATGCAAAAAATTAAGAGTCCCTCCAGAACTGCAAGCACTATCTCAAGCAAATATAGACAATTTATTCACACTGTCATTACTTGCAGCAATAGCCGATGTAGCGAAGCAACCAAGTTTGGGGGGGGGGGTGTTGAATGCTCTCATTAAGGAGGCCAGACTTGGTGGAGGTGGTTGACAGGAATGAAGCTGCAGTCCGTTGCAACCTGTAAAACATAACATAATATGGAATATAATATAAATTTGTTAATCTTTCCTACCTCCTTTTGGGACACCCTGAATATGTATCACTACAATGACATATTCAACTCAGGGCCCTTCCAGACAGGCCCTATATCCCAGGATCTGATTCCAGGTTTTATGCTTTAAACTGGATTATATATGAGTCCCCTGGTGGCCCACTGAACTGTTGAAGTTGCGGACCGAAAGGTTGGCGGTTCAAATTTGAGGAGCGTAGTGATCTTGGGAGGAGAGCAATGTCCAGTCTCGATAAAATAGTTAAGAGTAGAGACATCAGACTGACAACAAAGATCCGCCTAGTCAAAGCCATGGTATTCCCTGTAGTAACCTACGGATGTGAGAGCTGGACCTTAGGGAAGGCTGAGCGAAGGAAGATAGATGCTTTTGACTGTGGTGTTGGAGGAAAGTTCTGAGAGTGCCTTGGACTGCGAGAAGATCCAACCAGTCCATCCTCCAGGAAATAAAGCCCAACTGCTCATTGGAGGGAAGTATGCTAGAGACAAAGTTGAAGTACTTTGGCCACATCATGAGGAGACAGCAAAACCTAGAGAAGACAATTATGCTGGGGAAATGGAAGGAAAAAGGAAGAGAGGCTGACCAAGGGCAAGATGGATGGATGTTATCCTTGAAGTGACTGACTAGACCCTGAAGGAGCTGGAGGTTGCCACAGCAAACAGGGAGCTCTAGCGTGGGCTGGCCCATGACGTCGCGAAGAGTAGGACGACTGAACGAATGAACAACAACAACAGTGATCTCCCACTGTTAGCCCCAGCCTTTGCCAACAGAAGCTGAAAACATGCAAATGTGAATAGATCAATAGGTAAGGCGCTAGATCAATAGGTTAGCGCTTTAGCTAACGGTAAGGGCCAAACTCAGGTATCTCATTGCACTTAAGGATCGTTGCACTTTATGAATTGCCCTAGTGGCACGCAGCCGTGGAGCCTATTACTGCTGCACGTTAAGACTCTTGCATTTTATGTGTTATCTTACTTTCGCGGCTGAAACGTTCACTACTTTTTTACTACCTATCTTACTGAAGTGTGGTCCCCCACACTTCTACTTATACTGTCCTTGATTTTAGTGACTAGTGGAAGGAGTAAGGGAGGAAGCGGGCTGGAGCCCGTGGATAACAATGAGGTGGGGAGGGGGGAGGAAGAGATTCAAGGGAATTGGCATGAAAAAACGCCAACAACCCAAACAACTATCGAAACAGAGACTAAGACCTTGGCTTTAGACTGCGGCATGGAGGAGGGGAGGTGTTCCACTAGTCGAGGGGCCCCCATAGAAGTCGTGGTGGGAAGGAGGAGATGCGGAAAAAGGAGACATCGAATTCGGCCTAATTCGGACCACTTATCTACATTAATAACCCCAAATCGGTCTCCTAAGGTAAATTGGTGTAGCCGGGTGAGCGGGCCCTCTGGATTGAAGGTGGTGCTGCTGAACGCCAGATCTGTCAACGGAAAAACGACCTTCATCCAGGATTTAATCCTGGATGAGCGGGCAGATCTGGCGTGCATCACGGAGACCTGGCTGGATGAAGCTGGGGGTGTGAATCTCACCCAGCTTTGCCCTCCAGGCTTTTCTCCGTGCAGCACCAACCGAGATCCGGAGGACGGGGAGGCGGGGTTGCAGTGGTCTATAGAGATTCCATCCATCTGACCAGGGGCCCCATCCCGCAGACCACAAATTTTGAATGCGTCCACCTGAGGGTGGGTGACCGGGACAGAATAGGGATTCTGCTAGTGTCCCGTCCACCTCGCTGCACTACAGTCTCCCTACCTGAGCTAGCGGGGGTAGTCTCGAGCCTGGCGTTGGAGTCTCAACGGCTTTTGGTGCTGGGGGACTTCAATATCCATGCCGAGGCGACCCTCACAGGAGCGGCTCAGGACTTCATGTCTGCCATGGCAACCATGGGGCTGTCCCAACAGATATCTGGCCCCACCCATTGTGCTGGACACACATTGGACTTTGTTTTCTGCCAGGGATGGGAGCAGGGTGGCGGTGTGGAGGAGCTGTCTATCTCTCCGTTGCCATGGACTGACCACTTCCTGATCAGATTTAGGCTCACTGCGCCCCCTAACCTCCGCAAGGGTGGAGGACCCATTAAGATGGTCCGCCCCAGGAGACTTATGGATCTGAATGGATTCCTGATGGCTTTGAGGGAATTTCCCACCCCCTTGGTTGGTGATCCTGTTGATGCTCTGGTCACTCTTTGGAAAGGGGAGATGGCCAGGGCAATATACACGATTGCTTTGGAGCGTTCCCTCTCAAGTAGCCAAGCTAAACCAGCTTCTTGGTTTGACGAGGAGTTGACAGCGATGAAGCAAAGGAAGAGGGGACTAGCGGGCATGTGGCATTCGGATCCAAGCGGGCCAAACGAGCACGGTTTGTGTCCTTTCTTAGGGCATATGCCGCGGCAATAAAGACCGCAAAGAAAACTTTCTTTGCGGCCACTATTGCGTCTGCAAAGAACCGTCCGGCGGAGTTGTTTCGGATTGTCAGAGGTCTTTTAACTCCCGCCGCCTCAGGCGGGAGCCCTGACAATTCGGCCTCGCGCTGTGAAGCATTTGCTCGGTTCTTTGCAGACAAAGTCGCTTTGATCCGTTCTGGTCTGGACACCATATTAAATGCAGTCTCCGAGGATGTGACACGAGCACCTGCTTGTCCTATTTTGATGGATTCGTTTCAATTGGTGAAGCCCGAGGAT